TCGGGCAGAACGTTTTCCACGGGCTCTGACGGGTGTCTGCGCCAGACTTGCACAAGCCATCTCCTTTATACAATTTACCTGAGACTGTTTGAGTACATAATAGATTGGATTCAAGGATTTCTCAAGAAACATGAGTGACTACAAGCATTTGATAATGCTTGGAAGTCTTTGCCACCGTACTCTGAGTTCTTTGTTCCCAAAAAAGCTTACCGTAAGGTTACACAGTGACAAGGGAAAGAGATGAGAAATTTGGGGCGATATCTTTTAGCAGTTTTAGCTGTGGCGTTGAGACTGCCAGATGGTGTGCAACAGCTACCTTTCAAACATCCGCTTGCTTGCGTCAGGTCATTATTCAATTTCAGTTTAATGGGATAATATAAAAGTTATACAGCAGAGACTATAGATTATATGGAACAGTATCTCCACAGGTTTCATGCCACAAAGGATATCTTCTTAGAATTTTGAATGTCGAAACAGACACGAGCTAAACTTAAGGATCAGGTCTGGGGGATACGGCATCAGCAAGCCCAGTTGAATGAATCTCACACCAGGTTGAAGGTACGGAAAATACACGAGCAGCATCATGGGCAGGAGGACGACCAACGAATGGAATTGATTCAGTCAAAATGTCATTTCAACTTCATCAAAATGCATCTGCTACCTCACTTCCGTGATCACATATACCTGTTTAGAAATATTCCCATATATTCAACTGAATTTGGGGAGCTGGGGCATAAAAAAAATCAGATTAAGGACAGATAGTGACGATCGAATAAAAACAATGCCTCCAGGCTGATTCTGAGCAGCTATAGCCGACAACATGTGATCCGAATGAGGCTTTTGAACCTAGATTCACTAAGACGCCAAAGAGCTCATATTTCCGCAGACATTGTCGACCTTTTGAACAAAACCGGTACCGGACCTGTACCGGGGGCTGAGTTCCATCTTCAAGTCCTGAAGGGGCACTGTGGTGATGTTGCATGTCTGGTCAAATTTTGCAATGCCCTGAGTATCACCACCGAAAACATGAGTACCGAATTGATCTGATATAGCCGCCAGATGCTGCCCGTAGAGCGTTGCCTCCCCGACGATCTTGCTATACTTCGACTCCTTCCTGTTGAACTACTGATACAACTCGAAATCCCAGTTCCCGCCTTTCAGGAAACCGATATTTACGACATCTACCGGGGAAGATCTATGGGATCCCGGCTTTTTTGAAACCAGGCTAGTCGGAATGATTGGGTTTGGGTCCAGGTAGCCGGGGAGCAAATCTATCGTGCGCTCCGTAGCCATCTTCTGGAAAAGCTCATGGCACTCTTCAACCTGCGAGATCGTAGGTACCAGAAGACAATACATCGACTTGCTTGTGTTCAGATTTTGAGTGCAGTTAACTCTGGGCATCCATCAGAATTACACGATCTTGTCACTGTTCAGCTTAGACCCGATGCGAGAAGGTTTACTATAGTAGACAGAGGCATGATACTTGGGCAAGCCCACCTGGTTCCGGAGGTAGACGGACCATGGCTGGTCACAGTCGCATTGATTTAAGGACGTTTAATGAAATATATTGACAAACGTCGTGCAGACACATTGATTATGTGGCACTGAGAACTTCTAACACCAGACACGAATCCTCCTACAACAAACAGGCAATATGGGCATAGAATGATGAAGGACTCTTGATAGCAAGCTGTACGTAGAAATAATAAAACATGATTAAGACAAAGTGCTAGAAATCAAGTGTCCGCCAGAAAATCCGCAAACCTACTGTGAGGAACCATGACATACTTGCCCACGAGGGGTCATCGATATTGTGGATAGGGGATGCGCGGCAGGCTCCGATATCTATCAGCTGGTATGAACGTCGCGGTAACGTAGGGAGGCACTCATCCAGATCGCTACTGGCGCACAACACAGCAGAGCGTAATCGGGAGTGTAGCAAGTGTTGCGTTTCAAGTCTGACGTTATCCCGAAGTGGCGAGAGCAGGCAGGAGGAACTGGACGGATTGTAGGATTGTCGCACGACGCCATGAGGGAATCTAGAGAAAGAAGCCAGGAGCGGAGCGTCAGGAGGGGGTGATACTAGGAGCTCATCATAGGGGTTTGAAAGGAGGATTGGCTGCCGTAGGACGTGGTCCAGATGTCACTGTGACAAAGGGGGGCGCCAGGCAGGAATCCTGAGGATGGAGGATGGAATTGAGCGTCAGGTAGTGAGACAGATGTAAGGCCGCGAGCACTGTGATCAGAGCGACAGTTTTGCAGTAGCAACATAGGAACGTGATCCAGACATTCAACCGAGGGGCCAGAGGGTACTGGAGGTAAGCATGCGAGAGAATGGTGACAGGACGCAGGGGATGTAGGAGGGTGTCGGGGCTGGAAGCCCAGATGCACGGGACGCAGTGGCGCATTGCAACCAGAATCAGGACGCACAGGATGCAGGAGACGTAAAGAAATAAAACTCAGCGTCAGGGCACGCCATCCACGTATCAGACACAGAGTTTTTTTTTGCTGATGAACTTGTACCAGTAGTTGGTAACGTTTCTTCCTCCTTCATAAATTTTTTCCAACTTGTTGCATACTGATTGGCTTAGTTCTCAGTCCATGAACTGAGCCTCAAATTGTATTTTGAAGCTGTCCCAATGGGTCCATAGTACCGGTGTCTGACTGACTACTATGAGTGTCACCTATTGCAAGGCTGCCTCTTCGAATAGGATCAAGGTATATTGTATTTAGTCATTATCATTCCCTTGTATCTGTAACCGGAGCTGGTACTCGGTTAGTTTGTTTTATGTTTTGTTTTAAGTATCGGTTGATACTTAGTTTGTTTTATGTTTTGTTTTAAGTATCGGTTGATACTTGGTTATTTTTATGCTTTGATTGAGTAAGAACATGAGTGAGAATTCATGATCGTACTCAAACACATGTACTTAAAAAGACCGCCGTCTTCCACTCTGGAAACGGCAGACTTCGACAGACAGTATTTTAATATACTCAGTTGAACGGTTATCTTTATTCTCCTATTACATCACCGAAGCCTCCCTTAGCGAGCCTAGAAGTTGATAGTCTCCGGTAGGCGTCACTTCTCTCCTATTGTACCCGACAGCATGATTAGCGCCCCGGCATGAACACGTTACAGTATCCATCCTACTGCATCGAAGTAGGTAAGGAATTGGCCCATGAATCCTCATAGTTTGCTTCTTTCTCCCTCGTATCTGGGAGGTATCTTGACTTTTGGCTTTTGATCTCTTCCTCTCAATACTTCCCATATCATTTGTTCTACTTATTCTCATGGGATCATTGCTGGGAGCATTGGTCTAGCTCGCAGCAGGCCTACTGGTGGTGCTGGTCCTAATATTCTTTCAGGTCTTGGAGTATCTGGTACTTCTTCTGTATTTGGAGATGTGACCAGTTCTGGTATAACTAAATTCACCATTCCAGCCGAGTATTGACTTGCTTCACTTAATGCTTTGTGGACTCCTCCTAGTCCTAGACTATTGTCTTGCAGATCCAAGTTTCCTTCCACATCTCAGTTGAAGTGATCCATGGTATAATCGCTAAGTCTCATATTGTAGACACGTTCTAATATTAAGAATCCTACCTGGTACGGGAGAGCAACAGGTAACCATTCTTTCTGCTTGGTAAGGCAATAGTTCTTAGGCCATTGCCTACACAAGTTGGATAGTCAAGTCCTTTAACTTCTATTAGATCACACCTATTCCTTAATCTTATCAAATCCTTCCTTAGGCTTTAATCGTGGGTCATGGGACAAGAGATAGTTTTCTCACTTTTTGAAGTACAGTAGAGAGTGTAAAGGTGTTTTCTTTAAAATAACAAGTGTAGGAAATAAACTGGAAGAATGTGTGAATAGCTCCTACTCGGAGTCCTAGTAACCCTTTATATAGTCGCTCTTTACCTGGTGTGACTCATACCTTGTGTCATGTGAACCTTATAACTCATAACTATCAATTATATGAAATCCCTCAGCTGACTCTTGTGAGTTACTGTGCAACATACCTTAAACCAATCAAAACTTAATAACCAAGTCAGGTGTGCAACTCACATTACCTGAGTGAAACCCATGACTCATAGCTTGAGTCATGTGTGAAAATCATAACATTGTGTGACTCACAACTGTGAGTCACAAACAGGTAAACATAATAACCTATGGTACACTAGTGTGCGTCATGTGAAATCTCAACATACCTATAACTCAGAATCCTGAGCTATGTAAAATCTGCCTTGCTTAGTCACAGTTTGTGACATCACCCTCTTATTTGCCTAAGGCAGAACCAAGCTAGTGCACCAACCATGCTTTGTCTGATGTCATGATTGTATTGCAAATCGCGGTTTCGACCTATAATCACGTCACGTCAAACGACTTCATGTCTAAATTCAAGAGATTGTGGTTGCCGTTTTCATAATACATCCAAAATTGATAGACCTTTCAGTCATGCAGGGTGTGTGGTTCCGCCTCTAGGCTTCCGGAGCCATAGCGGGTAACTTAAGAAATGGGAAGCAGATACGAGTGAAGAGGAAATGGATTTCTATTATAAATCTACCAGCAAGAGTGGCTTTTCTATCAGGAGTGAATGATCGGTGGAAATATTCCTTTGAGGTATCGGGGTTGAAGACTTAGATAGCTTGATGTTTTATTTATGAGTTGCGGTGGGCGTAGTAGAGGTTTTAGCGGTTTGTTGTCGGGTGAGTATCTCGAACTCGAGCATATTCTGGTTTCTGTCGGGATCATGCGGGTTGCGCGAGTGGATAACATTGCGCCCATGTACGAGTAAATTTAAACTCTGACCCCCCTAGTCCTCCAGCCCAGTCATGAAAAAAAATTGGCGCTTGGACACGTATCATTGGATGAACCCCCGGTTCGTTCCGCCGCACCTGACCCTGGGGAGGGTGACCCAGCAACCGTGGTCAAACCTTGGCTCAACCGACTCAGCTTACCCCAAACAACAAAGTTCCCCCGCCCCCCCGCTCTGCCTTATCTTACCATACCATACCATACGGTCCATACCCACGAGAGGCTTCGACAATGCCTCTAACAAAAACTCCCTGGCATCCCCTCCCGCTGACCACCCCGAACCGGTCCGCCCCACCATTACTCCTTCAATCAACATTCACACCAACAACCTATACAATTCAGCTAACGGACCTAGTAAACATATGGTCGGAATCCCTTTCCAAACGTGAGATCCTAGCTCGTGCCGAGCGCGACAGCACTACTATCGATCCGAGTGAGGATGTGAGCCAGTTGCCCATACTTCTGCAGAAGTTGGAGTATGCTCTCGGTAAGAAGGGGGATGACGATGCAGTTGATGTCGAGATGTTTCTTGGGAAGAGTGGGCTTAGGCTCAAGACTACAATTGAGTTACCGAAGCCCTTGGGTGATTTGAGATGGGTTTTCGAGCTTACGCCTGTTGGTGGGGTTGAACTCGCAAATTCGTTAGTGCTGCCCTTTTTGAGTGAGGTTGCGACTTTGAGGGACATGGTTGAAAGCTTGATGACTGTTGTCAAAGAAAAGGATACTGTGCTCGAGAGGTTGGTAGAAGGTATGGGGGAGGCGGGGGTGGACGTTAGAGCTATGATTGGGGGAGGCAGAAGAAGGAGAGGGTTAGAGAAATTTGATGTAAGTAGGTGGAGAGGTGAGTTTTTGGGCGGGGATAGGAGAGCCGGGGAAGTCGTTAGCGAGGTTTTTGGGCGGGATTCAGGACAAGAGATTCCTAGTGTTAAGGGGTTAGGTGGGGAAGCTGGCAGGTGGTGGAGGGGACTAGGAGAGGATGGAGATGGGGAGGAAAGTGGAAAGAAACCCAAGAAAAGGTTCGAGACCAGTGGGGCTGCCGCGGAGAGACGGCTTCAGAAACCGGTAGCAGCAAAGCCAGATTCAGACACAGACGACGATGAATTTGAGGTATGTGGGTTTCGGCAGGGAGGGGTTCTTTTTATCTTTAAGATATTCTTCACGGGGATAAGTTCCTTGCCTGTGCCCATGTTAGCGAGTTGCTTTCCCAAGAGTCCAACGTACTTTGCACTTTGCACTCGTGGGCCTTATAGAGACAAGAGCCAATTCAATCCTACCGTCCTATCCCTAAACCTCCGCCCTATTATTATACCTATGATATGACTGCGGCGTATTAACTCGTTCACCTCTTCAGGTTCGAAAAACCCCACCCCGGGTCTTGGAGCGAACCCCTCAGTCAATCAACAAACCACAAAGCATTTCCCCGCCGTCCTTCAGGAGGAAGTTAAAAACCCCTAGCCCATCGCGCGCCCATCATGCCCAAGATGAAACCGCTTCGGAAGATGGTGACATCGATGTTAGCTTTCCGCCTTCTCGAAACCCAGCCTCCCCCTATGTTTCAAAGCTAATCTCACCCCCCAAGATTTCCCCCCCACGTACTAAGCGAGTTATTGGGAAGATCGGTGGAGTTAGGAAACCTGCAATTCCTAACCCCGAGCCGCTCGGTGTCCCGGCAGCCGGTGCCGATGAAACGGGGGATGAGGATGATGCCTGGATTTCGGTGAACAAAGGAAAAGGAAAGGAAAAGGAGACAGAAACCAACGATGATATACCTGCCTCCCGAGCAGTCAACAAAGGTGTCAAGTTGGTTATAGGGGGGTGGAAGCCGACCCCTAATCTAGCTCACGAGGAAGAAAAAAAGGGAACGGTAAAGAAATCAATTGGAAAAATCGGAAACGCCGGCGGAAGACAGACCGGACCGGGAGAACGAATGGTGACGGGAAAGGATGGACAGAGGGCTCCATCCGGATCAGCGGTATCCTACCCTTCCCATAAATTCGAAAAGCACTGCTAAATGATTTTCAGTCGCGAGTTCCAACCCCTCCTCTATTACCACCCGGAGAGGGTGTCAGAGACGCAGAAGAGGAGGAAGATGGGGATGAAAAGGCTGATCGGAAACGGAGGCAGCTGCAAAAGGAGTTAGAAGCGAAGAAGAAGGCGCCGGTCAAGAAGAAGAGGAAGTTTTAGTTCAGCGCCCAGCCACTCACTCGTCGTGGGACCGTCAGGGGATGGATCTGGATACGGGGAGCTGCGTAATCACGTGTGCTCTATTTGTATCTTGAGTGGTCATCCGATCTCGGCCAAACAAGGCATGAAGTCGTGTGTTTGTAACTCACACGGGCTTCCAGTATCCTGAGAAGGCAGGCTGTCTGGGCATAGCAAATGAGTCGAAGCTTGCCGCGCTGAACAAAGGAACTTTCCCTGCCCTGTCAATCACTCCCCATAGATATAGGATGCAATTACAACTCTCCAGTCACTGTGCGGTTGTGTGTACGTCGCTTGACCCGCCTAATCACCCGCTGCTGGGCCTTTTCAATCTACTCCACTTCCCTTAGTCGTAAAAACACATATTATCACTCGCCAAGGGTCTCGTGGTCGATGAAGAATACCACTATTGGTGGTCCAGCTGCCCAATGACAAAGGGATTGATAGGGTGTGGATGGTATAAAAATTCTGGGCCACTTTGCCCTTTAGAGAGGATAGGTGGCTGAGCGTCCGCGAATTGCTGGGGGGGCGGGTGATGCAAACAGCTATTCCCCGGGGTGAGAAGAGGAATTGGCTTGAAGGATTCGGCAACCATGCAGCCCGAGGGTCCAGAGGGAGAGGATGCGAAAGCCTACCAATTAGGCCCAGCCAGCGGTGATCATGGCTGAGGCAGAGCGAACTCTACCCTTATCGGATGCGCGTATACTACGATACAGACACCGTGTACGGCGAGCATGCCTATGTGCTTAAAGCGTGTATGTGAATAAAAGGCGCATATGTACAGTAGATGGTGGAAGCGCACAACGGTTGAATGCTGGTAAATCGTACGATATGAGGCTGGTGAATCTCATGTCTTATATAAAGGAGCCTGTGCCCCCATGAGTGGAAGTGTGGATATGACGCATCGTTTTCTCCCATTCTCTTCCCCCTCTCATGATACCGGTATCACCCCTCCTGTCTCTCCATGGAGACAGCGGAAGCTCAGGTGTTCCTGATGCCAAGATAATATAGTACTGTGCAACTAAGATGGCCTTATCTCGCCCCAGATGGATGGAACCCAGTGAGGCGTGACCCCAGCATGCCCAGGTACAGTACCAGTTTCAGTGGACCCGCCACGGTATCCGTGCGCCCAGATCGGACGGAACACCCCACCCTCGTGTATCAGCCAACAGCAGACCAGGTAGCGAGCCCTGGTAGTCAGTAAAATTTCTTGGCAGCCATTTTCCAGGAGCCGGGCCTTGATTGTCTTGGGGGGGATCGTTCTTTGGAATTTTGGAAGTTCCTCCGGAAACCGTTCAATGGGTTACGGGAGCAGACGATGCAGGTGTGACAAGACCGAGGAAAATCCCCCCCCCATAGCCTCTTGGCGATACCATTGCCCCATGATGCTAAGCTCGAGAGATAGCCATCTTTAGTCTCGGTTAACCGAATCTTCGGCATGGTTCGGGATACAATCCACTCCGCCGCAGACCCATCCGTTTCGCTTTGCTCTGAAAAACCTGTAATCTTGGGCAGAGCCTCCGAAGACCTTTTGATGTCTGGTACTTCAAAAGGTACCAATTCAACAAAAGCTGCTCCCCCACATTTTGCCACGCTATCCCACCCATAACGTAATGGTGGTATGATCGTGTTTCCTCGGCTTACCAGTATACCTTAGACAGTCAAATTTGCCATCTTGTAAGTGTGCTTTCTCATTTCCTAGTGAACGGGGGCCGTTTTCAAGCCGTTCTTACGGCGATGGGGCAGCCTTGCTCTTTCTACTACAATCAAGTTGCTCCAAAACCTTTGCACGGACCAGGCGACAAGTTTGACCGGGCCACCTGTCCAAGGGATAGTGTATATATTCGCTCGAGGAGGCGGAAAAACCTCCCAGGTGGATACAGTTGCGATCCAGTGTCAGCAGTCGCCGGTTTTAACCCTGAAAGCAAGCAAGCGGAGATTGAATATATCCCGACTCCAGAATTACCAGACATCCCTGCTCAGGCCTTACAGCATACACACACTGCAATGCTCAGCTTTGGTGCAGTGCGTCACTGGGGACCAAAGTCTGGGGAATGTCTCTCGGAAGTACGAGTGATTCCTGGTGACGAAAGGCGGTCCTCCAACCAAGGGGTCCTTTGGTAAAAAGGTATGTGAGCCTCCCCATTATAATAACGAACTCGCGTAGTTTTTAACGGCGTCCATCCTTTTCGTCTGAATTCAAAATATTTGTGGATTGGGTAGTAAGTGCCGGAAGCTGTACCTAGCTCCAGAACCGCGGCAACGCCTCCGTTGTCTCATACAGAGATCCAGCAGCATTCCGAAAATCCCGGTGGAAGCATCTATGGGTTCCTCGCACGCGGGATTTCTGTCACAAGCACCGCCTCTCCCATTAGCCCTTCTAAGAGAAGTAGCGCATCACACTCCACACACACACGCATACGCAGAAGATACCCCCGTGATCTAGGGCCTTTGCATGACCTTTCTCTACTTATCAGGTTATATTATTAAGCATGAATTCACTGGGGTGGGGGCCTCCTGTGTTGGTGGAGGAGAAATCTGCGGAAAGAGCCGATAGGTATCTGGTAGCCCAATAACCTGGGTAGATGCCCGACTTGCACCGCTACGTCTCAAACTAGTCTTACAGATGACATACAGTTTTGTGTTGGGACATGGAGGTGGGTGTTTTGCGGGGAGCGAATGGAGGTGTTAATTTCCGTAGTTGAATTAGAATAAGCCGGGAGAGATTCCGGACGAAGGGAGGCCCCGATGCAAGCTTGGTAAGGTACTCTTTCTTGTGCCCTAGAGCCCTATCTTTCGGGCAGGAGGTCCTGATGACGATAGACCTTCGAGGTGCTCTACCGTATTTGCCTATAGATTGAAAACACGATACCTTGCACTCGGCGGGCATCAGTTGACATTGGGCGAACTTTCTCTCGTCCGATTGCAATCTTCTGCGGTTTCAGAGGAAGTCGCCTCCAGCTTCTGAGCTGGCGTCAGGTCCTAATTGACTGGGGGTTCGGCACACGACAGAAGGGGCGTGGTGCTATCATCCACCCCATATTGGCTACCAAGTTTGTCTTCGCTTGGTGTGTTGTGCGGCTTGCGAAACAAAACCGGAGCGTCAGCAGAGAACAAGCATTCAGCCCTGGGGGTCTCTATAGTCGATAAACTATAGGGTGCGTGCATGAGCACAAAAGAGGAGAAATTGGGCGGGACTTGGTTGCTCTTGGGCATTATTGGTGCCCAGCAATCCCTCCCACATTAAGACCAAAAGATCGAAAGGTTTCCTAACCCAGGCATATTCAGCGGGAGATCTCGCCCCACCAATATACAGGGTATGCAATATTTATTTAGGTAGCTACCCGATCTCAAACAGAGCTTGACTGGCTTTCTCGATGATAGCGACATTCCTTCTGCTGTGAAGAGATTCATTTTTGTGTTTGGCCGGTATCTGAAGTGCTGAGTTAGCTTTGCAGTGAGCAGCGTAGCGATCGGGAAGCCATGAAAATCGGCAGTGCTCGCAATGTATGTCTCTTTGCATGAAGCGGACATTATGGTTCCTGTAAAATAGGCAAGTCTCTCTCTGCAAGGCACCGTCATACTTCATGGTGGCCGGGCCCGAAATTGATCCCCACATCTCTGAACAAAAGGGTCATCGTCTGGGATAGCTACGAGATTAGCTGGTCCTTGGTTAGAGTGTGGCGGAAGAAAACTCCCCAACAGATCATTGGACAACCTCTAAGGGTCTAGCGAGAGCAACCTACCAAGGGTACGCCCCCACACATCACTGTTTGATAATAAATCCGGAAGACATTACTAACATTGTATCACTAAGCCAAACAGGTACTACAGCCAGCAGCCTGATTCTATTGATATGGCAATGATGCGTAGTGTATGAGAGCCAAAACATGACCGACTATGCGTCCTACAGCACATTTTTAGAGGGGTCTTCCAGGGGAAGTTGTGAAGCAATCCCAACCCCATCTGCACAACATCACGGCGATGTGGTTTGTAAGTCAAGTGCCCGTCTCTATACAAGGTTGCCACAACTCATGTTTTGCCAGCGTGAGTCTACAGGTGGTTACATTAACAACCCAATGGACCGGGGTGTCTGAACTTTCTGACACTCCCATCAGAGCATAGAATCTCACTCGATGTCAAGGCTGGTCTCTCATTATCGCCGATGTTCCATTTGACTATCGTTTTTTTTCTTTTTTCTTTTTTTTTGATTCAGTCACCGCCGATCGTTGTAAGGGGTGGGTTGGTTCCTAATCATAAATATGATTACCTAGTCCGCTGCCAGCCTATTATTTTTGTATAATCCAGGATTCGGATACACAAAGTTCGCCTCCCGATGAACATGGTAGCTTGAGGTTTGAACCCCTAAAAGATCCTGACTACCACCCCACGATCGAAGATCCGAAAAGAGGGTCACCATCAGAGAAATACCGTATCTAACTCCGCAGCACTCGGCAAACCCAGGCCCTGGACAACATTATACTGGCCTAGTTTCACACTCATGCAAATGTGGCCCGCTGGGTTCCTAAGTGCAGCTATTCCTGATTTTTTCGCTGGGCACGGGACGCGTTCGGCAGAATCTCGACAAATGGCAGAACAGCGGAGCTGATTCCAGGCCTCCTCGATACCGCCTCCAACTCCCGCCAAACTTGAGAAAAAGGGGATAGGACAACAAAAGAGCATCTACAGCTCTTAATCGGTTAGCGGAACTCTTTTTAACCCTCCAGTCTTTGATTGAATGATAGCGATTTGATGCAAAACTCAAGAATTGTCAGGAAAAGACTTTTGACATGACCGGGAACTAATGTTCTGCTAATCAGTCAGTCTCTTTCCGGCACAGGTCTCTCATTGGTGTCCCGGCTGCAATACGATGCAGAATGGTTTCAAAATCTGAGATTCACGGTTGAATAATAATCTCCTTCTTAAGTAATTCTTGGTCCAGGCGTTCCCGCAGCTGTGGCGCCAATAGTTATTGGGGACCGGCCTGCGCACCCGGTTTTTAGGCTGACACTTGGAGCTGGGAAACAGAGGAGCAGAGATTCTAAGGGCACGCTCGGTACTGAGAATAATTTCTATTATTTGCTAATTACTGGACACAAGATCTGCAAGCTTGCCGCTCCCGACATTCTAATGGCATCTCCACACTAATACCTAACACTCCCCAGATGAAAAAAACATACTCAAGGCCCCAGTAGGCTTTTGGTTAACAAATTGCCTCCACCTATGAGCCGATTGGTATCTATTTCTTCCACTCGTTAATGCGTATAGCCCTCTTTGGCTAGGCTAGTATTAGACGTGTCTGTTTATGAAATTATATCCAACTTGGGGCACTAATTAGCTCCACGACTTAAACGGCTCCAAGATCCGGAAACATGTGGTTCGACGGCCCATTAGCAGCACACTGAGTCAAACCAAAGGGAAAGGCAGTGCTCGAACCACGAGTGACATAGCTTTAGCGAAGGGTTTTGGGGATGTAGGTAGTGTTGCGTGCAGTCTCCTTTCGCATTGACTTAGCCCATCGATCCTTTGCTAAGAAACCGGCGCTGTAGCGGGGGTCATATGTGATAGGTAGGTTTTCTCTCTCACACAAATATCTCAACTCGGCATTTAACTTGTTCGCTATTCTACAAATAGGACTCGATGATGCTTACACAAGTATGCGAGGCGCCCCATGCCAAAAGCAAAGGGAAAAAAATCAGGATACCAAACATGGGTGGTGTGTGACCTCTTGTCTCCCGAGCGCAAACTGGAAACCAAGCACAAAAAGAAAGGAGGAAGACAAAAATAAGGAGCGTACGGGTAACGAAGACCCTATCGGCCAACTTCCCAAGAACCAGCACCAGGAAACTGAAAAATATCTTGAGCGGCAAGGGCCTACAAGTACCCCGAAGATCAAGCAACCTTGGCAGACATGCTCTATCCGGTTTAACGTGGTACTTGTTTTCACGATCAAAATTCGATAGATCCCAAGGCCGGTTATTTTCGCTTACCGGACTTGGGATACGAGCACAAACCTCGATGGACCGCTGGCGCATACGCGGAATCTGCCACTACGGAGCTCAAAATCGCTGATCCCCGAGGTCATCGAGCAGGGAAGAGTTCCCATTCCTTGTTGTGGCAGAGTTAATCTGAGACAAGCCCACGTTTGTAACTCCTCCCACGATCCGCTGCCGCTAGTGCAGCTGGAGGGAGGCCCGAAGTGGGATCTGCTGTAAAGCGGGAGGAGAGAGGGAAACCAGGTGAGACTAATCTAAGTGACACGGCACTAGCGTACCTCTACGTGTAGGACACCAGCCCTGCCAAGGTAAGCGCCATCCGGATGTTGATTATCACTTTATTTTTCAGCATGGAGGGGAAACCACGAGAGCCTGAAAACGGATCCGGGCTGGTACTCCGAAGAGCTCGGCTACATTGGAATATCAAGGAGCTTGAGGAGAGCATTCATCATGGCGCCTCCAGGCCCCGTCGCGTGACTCAGGTGGGCTCGGATCCTGCATCCCAAGGTGTTAAATAGCTTACCACTCCTCGTGCCCACCCCCCTACGATTGGCCAGGTTTGAGAGGAGTTCTTCTACAGTGCGGGTAGGATACGGAACCGGGCGATCACGGAGTAGAAATGATTTAGCCAACCAGTTATCGTGATCATCGGCAGCAACGAATTTACCGGCAGCTTGGTAACCAGCAACCCAGGGCTAAAAAAAAACAGTCGAATCGCGTCCAAAAGTCCCTGGGATACCTCACAGCCCCTCCCGCCCCTCTTCTGCTCAAGGGAAGACGGCAAAAAATAAAAAAATAAAATAAAGTGGTGATGCATCTAATGGTACAGAGAGCTATGCACTAAATTACTAGCCACAATTATGGTCCGAACCAGAGTTCAGCCTATCGTATTGCTCAAATTTGCATATGGCTTGTTAACCGTGATGCAGGCAACGATGTTCGAAAAATATCGTCGGGTTCCGGGAAAGCCTAGGTTTTGCTCCCTCCCCCCTCCCTCCAACCTGAATTCATTCCTTCCTCATTCTGTCCTCGGGAGAGAGAGCGATGGCAGATAATGATACCGTAATGAGCTCCTTACGTGTAGCTGCGTCGCGCTTCCTTTTTTTCTTTTCTTTTCCATCCCCTCAATCTTGCCACGCTGGGCCAGAAACGCTTTGGCCTCGATCAGTTGAATTACTGGTATGATATACCGGGGTGAACAACGACAAGTGCAATAACGTATCATACAGCAGTCCGCACCTATCTCCAGTACGCTGAAAACTCAAGATTGCCTTGGTCTACGAATATGTACAGTACTGCTTTTCAAGACGAAGTTGAATTGCACTATTGTACTCGAGCATGGTACCGTACTGTGCCTGCCGTTACGGCAGGGGGGGATAGGATCTAACTTAACTTGGTCGAGTACTTGCTCTATGCCGAGCCTAAGGTACTCGAGTACTGCAGAGCGGCCAGGATATCCCGAAGCGAGACCCTTTCCAGCTTCGCCGGCAGGGTACGCTGCTTGCATGGTGGAAAAACAAATTGCACGAGTTTCTTGGCAAGACAGAATGGTAGTACCGTAACGGGGCATTGTACATCACGAGCACTGTACCGTACTCCACAAGGGCCAGGTGTAAAAATGATGGCACTGGTAAGGTACTGCGCGATACTAAATCCTCATTAGTAACTTAGTGGTAATCTGAGAAACATGGCCCTAGGATGGTCTTTATTTACTCTTGCTTCGGTCGGTATTTAGGAAGGATAGATGGTTGCTGGATGAGGTATCCACGATCCAATCCGATATACACATTGAAATAATGATAATAATCCATTACCAGCTCTCACCGGGCAATCAAAGGTGCCTGCTCGTAGACGAGCTGGTTGATGGGTACAGTACCATTTCTCCGACCAAAATCAGCGCCGACACCCTTACATTGCACCTCTCTTCTATGCCCGACCCCTGGACTATAGTCCTTTGGACCACACGGATACCGTACTATATAGCATTCGATTCACCTTCACCGTACTGGGCGGTACTCGTGTGATTCCCGAATGGACCTTGCCTCCAACTCCTCCTCGTATCTTAACCCCGAAAAACGAAGCGGAAGACACATTACTGTATCAGCAAACCCCACTTCCACCAAGAAAAAATAATAAGAATTCCCAGTATGATACCAAAGAGTCCTTCCCCCGCCCGCCTGCCAACCACTATGGGAAGGGGAAGAAGAAGAAAAAATCACTACTTGCCCTTCCTCCCCTCCTCCCTCCTCCCCACTCTCATGGCTCTTTCCAATACCCACAACTATGATACCGGTACTTTGTACCCGGGTACACACATCCTCACTACTGAGTTATACTGAAAGGCAATTCCATTTCTTCTTTTCTCACTTACCCCGCCCTAGTGGGGCGGCCCCACATCATCGCCTCTGTTGTCTAGAAAAAATAAATAAATAAAAATAAAAATAACTGTACCTGACCGAAAGGAGCATCTCAGCCAAGGATTTTGGCGACTGTGGGGTTTGGGGAGTATGTGCAAGTAGGGATGGAGGCGAGTGCGGTAATAGTAACTGTGGCTTCGGCGTTAGCGGTAGGAAAAAAAAAAAAGCAGGGTGTTGGTTTGGAGAGGGAGGGGGGTTAGGGGGGAAGGAAAGTATCGTAAATCTCCAGCAGGTTTGCTTGAACGGGGCTTGGCCGCGGAAGGGATGCGGTAGGAATCACCGCCCCGGTCAAACGCAGAGAGGGAGGGAGGAAAGGAGAAGGGTAAAGTTAGCGTACAGTAACTTAGATATGGCAAAAGTTGAGTGCTATCCGAAGAGATTACATAATATACTCTGGAATGCAGAAACGAAAGAGAATTGAGAGGGGAGAAAGAAGCTAGTAACCCCCGTAAGTTCCAATACCTTTCCCTCTTCTCCAAAAGCGTTGGGGTGATCATTGCACAGAGACGAATCGTTTCTCTCAATTCCCAACTTCAATCACCTCCCAGCGGCGACACCAGCACCCCATCAACAATTTCTCTATATTTCACCATCAACTAAAAAAAAAAAGAAGTAGGCGTCAACAGCCGTATTTCCGTCATCCACACCCACAAGCCCCTCCTGCCCCCCCAGTGGCAATCCAGCTACAATAGATAGATAGATAAAAACCCAACTTCTCAAGAAAAAACATACACCATTTTCTTTTTCCCCCCGTCTCGCTTCACCCACTCCCGCACCCCTACAATACCTAATGCACAACTTCTCGGTTATGACTAGTATGGGTGTGTGCTCAGTAAGATTGGGAATCTCACTAGCTTTCCCTGCGCGCCCATCTCCTAGCCAGTGGGTGATATCCAGTGTCTCAGAAAACTAGTTGCCTGCACCTCTCGCCTTGTGCAAGGTGGATAATAATACCCAGAAAGGAAATAAAAAACGGGAAATAAATGGAAAAGATAAACCGTCTTAAAACCCATAAGGAAATGGCAGGTAAGAACGAAATAGGACTGAGGATTGTATCAACAATGATGATGGGAAATCCCTTCCGTTGAAGGAGATATAAAGTAGAGTGAATGAAAAGCCGTCTACAAATCTAAAAAATGAGAATTTGAGGGAAGCAGGAAGGGAAGAAATAGGAACAGCAGACACCACAAGCCCAAAGTGAAAGAGAAAGCGAAACGGAAGACACAAAACACAGAGAAACAGTGATAAGAATGGTGTAGAAGTGGCTCAGGTTGGGTTAACAACTCTGTAGGGGAATGAAGCATCCTTATTTCTGAGTGACGAGGGTGAACTCCTCGCTGAAGTTGTCGCTATTTCCATCGTTGTTTCTATCATTGCTTCCACAGAACCGCCAGCAGTCTTCCTCGAGAGATTCGAGCCCTTCGTCTTCGCTATTGTAGAGCGTCTGAGAGGTTCCATTATGCGGGAAGCTAGAGTAGCAATTGGAGTAATCGACTTGCTGAGCAGCAGCTTCCCGGGCACCTTGTGCGAGTAACATGCGCTCTTCGTTAGTGTATATAGCAGATAGCCCAGGGTGGTCTTCAGTGTTGAAGATGTGTACCCCAACAGGTTTGGTATCCGTCTCTTCTTTCTCGAAGAAGCCTTCGGGGAGAGAAGGGGAATCCATTGGCTGTTGTTCATGAACCTGTTGGGGTTCGCTGTCGCCGTGCTCAGACATTGGCCCAGTCGATCCGGACGGGCTGGGAGAAGAAGCAGACTTCGAAGCCGTTCCTTTCCTAGTCGACTTGCGTCTACGCTTGACGGTGGATCCTCGCAGGTAGAATTCGTCCGTGGCTCGTTTCTTAGCGTTGGGTGGAGACTTTCTGTATCTCGTTGTCGATTTGACACCATCAATTTCTGCTTCCTTTGAAAGGACCCAGATGTAACCTTTCCCAGGATCCTCAGGGGGGCGATCTTCCTTCAAAAATGCCTAGTCCAAAACACCCCAGTTAATGAAACGCCATCAAGCCGTAGAGAGTGGACGAATAGTACTAAGCAAGTATTATCAAAAAAAAAATTTGAGAAAAAAACAAAAAAGCAGGAACTCACCCCGTTCATGGATAGATTGTGCCGAATACTATTCATCCATCCACGGCCCTTAATCTTCCTGAATTTTGGGATCTTCTCACGAAAGTAATCATAGATCTGAGACAGTACCATCCTCCGGGTAGGGGTACTCATCAAGGCCCGATATATCAGAACAGCGTAAGGGGCGTCATCGTCAGCTTGATCCTCTTCCGCCATGTTGAGGGTTTTTTTTTGGTGGTTCAATTCCTCCTCCTGATGGTGATTTTGATGTTCGTCCTGAGAATCAATCTTTCCGACATCATCCCTGGGGTCCGGAAGGTAGTCGTCATCTCCAACATTGGAGTTAGGTGCGGGATCGGATGTCTCAAGAGGGGATAAAAACGGATCCTCGCCATCCTCCGTAAGATCGTCTCCTTCGAGTTCCATTCTGTTAGCCATGTCGATGGAGTGGGTGTTGTCGAGGGAATTTTCGACAGGAAAAAAACTCCCGTGTGTAGAAATAGGAGAAAGAAGGAAGGAGTTGGGGGGCAGATAAGCGGGTTCAGGGTGGTGCATGTGGGAAAAGTTGCCCTCGTCTTCGAGCTTCGTAGGGACATCTTCGTAATCCGAAATTGGCGAGGGTCGCTGGTAGAAATTCTCCAGGGGATTTTCGAACCGATGAAAAGAAGGATATACCCCTCCAGCACTGGGATATTGGGAAGGAAGTAGGTCCTGCCCGCGTACACAAGGGGTTTGATGTTGAGCCGAGGGGAATAGAACATTATAGTCGAAATTTGAATAGGAATTCGAGTGATTAATGCTCAGATCCGTAGTAGAGTCCAGTCCATGAAGCCCGTTAGAGGGCAACACTACCTCAATCCCAGATGTACCTACGGGCTCCAAACGTTCTTGGCCCGGGGCGGCGCTATAGGATGTTGAGAAATTCCCGAGGTCGGGCCTGTCTCGTGGAGACTCCTCTTCACCTTCCCATTCCATAGAGAATGGCAGGCCGGGGTAGTTAAGGTGCTGATTCCTGAGAACGCTCATGCTACGTATAATTCGTGGGAATGGTAGATATCTGCGGGGGGGGGGGGATTCGGTGAATCACGGCGCCCTTCCAACCATTAAGTGGTTCAACCAAATTCAAGGAAGAGGAGGGAAAAGACGGAGGGAAAATCTCAAGTGAGATTGGAAAATCAGGTACCGTTAGAGATGGCAAGCAGGAATGGAAAGGTAAAAGAGGGGAGAAGGGGTAAAAAAAAAAAAAGAACGCGGACAAGCACTTGATTCCTCCGACGTATATCCTGATAGATATGTGAGACCAAGATCCAATAAGTGTTCTAGAAGGGGTAAGTCCCCTGCTCAGAGGTCGTCCCTATTTGAGGGGAATCGAAGGTTCTTTAAGTCAGCTGCGTTCTGCGGCCTGCCAACTCAGACTCTCTGCCACCTCTCGAACGGAAACGAACATCACCACAGATGACCGACCAGTGGGGGATCTTTGGGCACTACTGCGGTTTTGGCAACCTTTTAACTGGATATACCCCACATCACATAGGAGAATATATCTTTGCTGGAAATGAGGATTCAGAGGTGAAGATATGGTCTCCAAGGATGGCACGGATTTTTGACTATATGAATCTAATAAATTGCATAGCAATTCTGAGGGCGTGCAGGTGCGAGGGGTGGGATGAAATGTTACTGTTCAGGAGGAGCGGGCAGCACAGGGGAGCGGGAAGGCAGAATCTCGGGCAGTTGCAGCGATGGGACACCAAAAACGAAAGACATCAACTGGGTGTGCGGTGGTAGAGCAAGCCTTGCGGTGAAGCAGTAAGGTCGTAGTTGAGATAACGATTCACGGAAAATGGTGCGGAAGTCGTAGAAGCGATATGAGATATCAACTTTCCGATCTCAAGGCTTGCGGTCTCCAAGCTCTCGGAGACGCCCATCATTTCCATCGGTAATTTTTCAGGGACGCCATACAAAATTAAATCCATTTCTAGAGTATCCGTGCGTTCAGGTAACTGAAAGCCAAGCAGAATGCATCTCAGTACGAGATGCTTCCCGTTGCTGTAATCATTGGGAGTTCCATGTAAAGGCAAGACTAAAACAGCGTATCGGACATAAAATCGAAACAAGTCTAGCGCATTGATAGCGTTATTTCTCTAACACAATGTACCGGTACTGCAACCAAAAGTAAGGAAGGGGGATGGGAAAAGGGAAAGGAAAAAATTAACATATCCTTGCCCCTCAGCGCTCGAGCAAGCAGATATCTTCCCTAAACACCCTTGCCGTAGATCCCAAGCTGCAGGGCTGTTCTGTACTGCAGATTCTTCACTGGGTTAGAACCTACATCGTTGTATTTTTCGAACAAAGAAATAACTGAGCCACGGGAGCTAGCAGGTGTAGGTAGCTTCCGCAATTGTGGCTCGGCTTCCGTCATTGGATAATTTCTATCCCTCGTGGAGGAGAACCGTGCAAACGGATGCAATCGCCAAGGTTCACGGATAGTTACGCACGAGTGATGCGGAAAGGCATCCAGGTGAGGGTCCTCCCCCCACCACCAACACCATTAGCAGCCGTTGTTTATTTTTTCCCTTCTTCCCAAGCCTGTCACTTTGTCAAGATGCTGTACTCCGGCATTCTACCCTCGCCGGTTCCCCGAATGGAGAAAGATGTGGTTGGAATCCTGTGATCGAGAGCCTAAGTGCATTGTCCCCGCAATGGCCAGATCTATCAGCGCGCTGGGCAGAAAAATCGAACTGTCTACATACGCTCTCCCAGGCCCGATTTCTTTCTTTCCCCCCTCCCCCTTTTTTCTTCTCCCCTTGTCTTTGAAACGCTGCTCGAAAGGTATTCCCGATCTTTCGTTTAGACTAGCGTACTGGCCCATCACATTTCCCGATTTTTTATAACCACATGCTATTCACCAGGGAGTCGGGACTAGAACGACCGCTGGGAGAGCTGGGCCTGTCTTCATTGACAGATCACCGACGGGGGGATTTATTGCCAAAAAACCCCTTCCATTCATACCCTTTTTCGAACGATTTTTAATACCGAGTCCAAAGCAGCGCAGGGCGGTTTTAATCTTCCCTTCTGGGCTTGTACCACTCGAGTCCCACACCCATGCTGAAGCCACACAGGGCAAACAATGATCCTGTCCAACGACGCTGGGAATCTTGCCCGCTGCTTCGAAAGTGATTTCCCCAGGTAGTGCAACCCCCCCCCCCCCCACCTATGACACCAAGAATGAGATTCTTGGGGAGTTGGGGAGTGAGACCCAAGGCATCGTGGGAGAATTAGTCCTCGATCGATCGAGCGGCCCGGCGCCGCACCTTGAAGTAAAACCCGCGCGTGAAGCTCAGTACTTTCGCATAAGCGAGGTGATGTAGACTCGTCCTCAATCGGGTTGTGGGAAACTGGGAACTGCAGGATCGGCTCCCTCTCCAAAACTCCTTATTGGAAAATAGTGGTTTCGGCCAGGGGTGTGCGCCGAGTGCATGAACCCAGTTAAAGAGATTCACCCAGAGTGCCCAATACCGACTTAACCAATCCTGCAACACTCTACACTTACCCAACATGCAAATCATAAGTTTAGATAAATCCGGAGCCCGAAGATTACCGCAGAGAGGGCTACAGGGAGGCAGGAGAAAAGGCTGGGAGAATCGGAGATGTCCAGGGCTGCACGCTTGGAATGATTGCCCAACCCATTGTCGTGGCTGAGCCTAGGAAATGCGGACCACTAGAACCAAGAAAACCATATCGCGCATTGAAATTCGGGCATGCAAGTGATAGGCTTGAAGTACGGGAACACAACAGAATTAATATAGTCGAGTGTATGATGGCGGAGAACGCAGCAGGCATACCCTTGAACCGGGTCCCCAACGGGTAGCGTGCACTTCTACACCTTAGTAAAGTGCTCATACGGTAGTCCGGATGCCGGCTTGCTGCGGCGAGAAGTTAGGTGTCCCTTCAAAGGGCAGGTAGAATGCAAAAGTGCGAGAAAAAAATGGTACTTCCAAACGCTGGAAGCACGACCCCAGGATAACTTCACTCTACCGCTCTCACCAATGCCTTATTTTGAAGTGAACCGTGCCCAATATTGTGGAGCCGAAATATTTTCGAAACGCACATGACGAAGAATTCCACCAATCAAACGAATTGGGCGCTGAAAAAAAATATTACGCCGCTAGAAAATGACAGAGGGAAAGATGACTTGAGTAAACTCTCCCGGTATGCCACATCATCCAGAGAAAGGTTGGTTCCCCCCCCTCCCCCGGAATTGCTTAATTGGTACAGGGGGCCAAGGGCCAAGGAGAAGAGAAAATAAGACTATCCACAGATAGAGTGCTGTCAGAAGCACTAGTTAGCTCTTATATTTACTCCTAAGGAAGTTAAGCGAATGCCTATCAAATCAGGAGCTTGCAATAATATTCAGTGGGGCAGCGAACCGGAAATCGAGATACATACAGCGGCCATAGCACTAAGCCACCAACTGCTGCCCCACCCTAACGCCAACGCCAAAATACGACAGTTTAAAATCCGAACAATGCTGAGGCGTAAAGTCCTTGTGTAGTACTAGTACACTAGATCATACTGATCAGTAGGTTTGTCTCCGGAGTTCTCGGTCCAAATTAGCGGCTCCATCGATCATAGAACGCCGCAACAACAGGTCCCGGAATCAGCGAGCTCGGGATATAGTTGACACGGGGGGAAATCCCCAGAAGAGCGGGGGATTTGAGATCAAACATGGCACTTAAAGCCTTAGCATTCTCGTTGAAGCTTGAATAAGCGCTTTTTTCACCCTCAATCCCCTCCCCGGTATTGACGTAACACATCCAAAGAATTCCTACACGAGACGTATCCAACAAATGATTAGCTCCATTCAAACACATCACTTGTCAGGCGCATGGGAGGATAAAAGAAATTAAAATAAGGGGTGGTGGGTGATCGACGAGAAAAAATTTTAGACGAACCTATCCAGAGTGCGCGCTGTCCATACCCGATAGCTGCAGTGAGAGCTTGGATCAAGAGGTACAGATGGAACTGCCGGGATATGAGAAGGGAAGTCACAGCACGCTTGAAAAGATGTGCGGGTGATCCGTCCAAAAGGCCTTTCCCGTAGCCATCAAGACACAAGTTCTCCCTCTTGATGTGGAAGGGCTTCTCCTGCTTTTTTGTTCCGTCCCAGCCACTTCCATGGTGTCCGTATGTGCGAAAGTCGACCGAGAACGACCCGGAAGTGTGAGGTTGGACCAAGCCTATCCCCAATCCCGATGACTAATCCAGTGAAGATCCCTTCACGTCTTGTCACTCGTCACCCGATCCGAATTGCAAACCCCTTGAAATCACTAGAATTAGAAATTATGATAATTGGGGATCGAACGAAGCGCACAATTAGTTGAGATGAGAGAGGATACGCCAAGTGTACAAGCAGCTGCAGTCGCTCCCAGAACGTGTTCATTTTCTCCCTTAAGTTAATTTCTTTTCAGCCCTAGGTTAACTGCATGCATCACCACGCATGCCCCCCCTTTTTTTAACTTTTTTTTTTTTCACTTCAAATGCTGAAGCAGCTTCCCTAATTCTTGCTTCTTGCTTCCAGCTAAACATTGACAACGAACACTCATCAGTGTTCATCCGAAACTTTAGCACTCACACCCGGGGCTCGCATTTTGTCCAATATTTTACCCACGGCGATCAGTTCTAGAAGGTCTCTTGCATGGCCCCCATTCGCCCCAACTAGCGCCCCTCGAAATCAAAGCGTTGTCTCTCCAGAGTAGAGAGAAGGGAGGGTGCTCCGGTGTTTTCCCTAGCATTCTGGCGCATCGATATGCAGATTTCCATATATGGCACGAGAACATTTCCCCCCATCGAGACTTGCGTGGTATATCAGCAAGGAACACAAGCCTAGACCAGAACATCAAAAAGGTCTGGGGATAAGAGGCCAACTGAGAAACCTCATGTTTGGTGTTTCAAGTTCATCAAAAGGAGATATATTGTACAGTAGAAACCCACAGAGGGTCACCGGGAATACGGGTAGGAAGTTGTGCACGGCTCATCTGTGGGCCAAGTAAGAGGGATAGAGCTAAGTTATCGGAAGGGGCCAGCAAGTCCCGGCAACGTTATTCTACATTGCAAACGAGCCGACCCCCTAAACCATTGGCATTGAAGTGGCGAGCTGGGGTAAATTCCCCTCAAGCGCCCCTTTCAGTCTTGAAGACAAACGGACCACGAAACTGAAAAATTGAAGCTAGCCACACTTGACCCCATAGGATCAGTTCCTAATATATGAATGGCAAGCTACCAAGAATAAATCCAAACTATTGATTCTTATCACCCAGGCGACGTGTAATCAAAGTTTATAGAGCACATGGAGAAGCCCAGAAGTTAGCTTGACTAGTTGCGCCACATATCTGCCCCCAATAACCAGCTTTTGCACCCGACCTCCAATGGTCACTTATCGCTCTGCCATGTCCCACATAAATGATATACTGGCCCATAGATTAGTTCTAGTGGTGCTAAGTAACGCGGCTGCTGTTGAATGAAACCCCTATAGGATTTGCGATTTCTTTCTAAAGTGGGAAGATAATCAAGAAGTCTTTGATAGGGGAGATACTATACAAAAAGTGGCTGTCAACCTCAGTTGCTCACTAGCGAAGCTCTGCCATCAGGTTAGCCCCTTCTGCAGAGCCCAGGCGGATAGGAGGCAGAAGATTCAGCCGCTCCAGACCAGCCGCCAGGGACATGTTGAGCCCATTAAACATCCCCAAATAATTACCAAATAAATTCGGCAAAACACCCATCACAGCCGCTTCAGGGTAAGACCAAAGATAAGGTTTATGCCAGGATTTCTTCACACTCACAGATTTTTTCCTCTAGGCACATTATTCCTCCAGTGCCGGGGCCCTGGGTAGGCCGGGTGAATGTTATGGTCCCCCTCCTTTAACTAGGTATCATAATTATCTTTCCTGTTATATTATCATAATTTCTTCCCCGACCCCCGAACCCCCGACCTATGGACTATGCCCGGCTAACAAAGATCTCCGGGGAAGTTTGTGTGTAATTGGTAATCTCAGAGGAGATGTGCCTCATCGCTCTCGCCAAGAGTTATTCTATCTCTCCTTCTGGTCATCTATCATCTTGCCCGTACTATTACACTATCTGAAAGAGGTTTTGCCAAAAAATTATTAGAGTGTTGTATGATGGAGGGCATCTATACCTGGGACCAGTGGGTGTTGCAAAATGTAATGCTTTACATAAGAAGGGTTAGGCTTTTTCATAGTGAACTGAAGTTCTGCAGGGCTACAGATTTAATTTACCCTCCATTTAGTGGGATTCAAAATATTATAATTATCATAATATTATGGTTCATGCCATTCAAAACAAGCACGAGGCTGAAATAATATGTTACATGTGGCAGTGCCTCTTTTGATGCCAAGCCTTGAATTTTCCATGGAATTATGGTCTAGGGTTTAAGTAATAATATATTTTAAATAGATTTAAAGATGAATAATATGAGGTTATAATAAAAATAACAAGAGAAGAGAAATGTCAAAATATTAACAAATATGTGCAATACTCTTTTAAAATATGATATTATAGAAGCAGATGAGAAACTTTAAAGTAATTTACCATTAACAATTCTCCCATATATAATATTACTATGATTTTATTACATATACTAGAGAAATAATGGTTGTTATCATTAGGGTTAATAGTATTCCTCATAGGTTACAGGTTATATTTACTCTTTTTAGTACATAAAAATTAATGACCTTTTTAAGCCAAAACCCTATTTCCTGAATAATAAATCTCTGATTACTAAGAAATTAAACTGTGGCTGATGTAACATTTTTCTCCCTTTCTCACCAAAAGTACAACTTTTCAAATTTGCAAGGCTCTCCCACCAAGGATGAAAAAAAATAAAAGAAAACCTCACAGTTATTCTCCATCATTCTCTCTTGAATCCTGAGGTTTTTTATTTCACATAATGACACTAGTTGTAGACCCTTGTCAATTTAAAAGTTGTCTAATTTCTCATGCAGGTTTTGAATAGCACGCACTATACTTTTTATACTTTTATTTTGAATTTAATTAAAGAAATCTGACTTTTTCTCAAAAGGCACTTCGTTGCTATGCAAACTAAAACTGCTTCTAACTTAAAATACCTAAATAGCGAAGTTACTCCTTTTCCCTTAACTGCACCCATATTCAATAGTTTGTAGTATTGAAAATATATACAAAAAATAGATCTGAGTCCAAGTCAAACCTCCACCTTATCAATTCTTTTTAGGAATTTGCAACCCCCAACCCTGCCTAAATATAGGCATTACATGGATGCACCCACCCAGGTGTACGTTTAATATGCTTCATACCATAACATATCAGAGACCCTCCCCCACAAAACACATTATTTCAAATCATTATACCTCCATGTAGTTGTGGAAAATATATACATGGTAGTCGTTTTTTTTAAAATTTTTAGCATCATGTAGTTATTTGTTATAATGAAGTAAAAATAGGTAAAATTCTGGTATACGTTCTGGATCGCACAAACCATATCATAGATAATAAAAATCTGATTGTATTGAATACCAGTCCTAAGCAACCTTTCCCCATTCATTGCCTTGATCCCTGCTAGTGGGATACTCCCTTCTAGCAAAATATTCAAAACTTAGGCGCTGTACCTTCGTAACCCATCAGGTCGGGTTCCCTAGGAGGAAATATCGTGCAGTGATGTGAGGGAGTGGGAAATGCGAGTGCCGATATCCCGATACCCCGCAGACGGAGACAAGCCCGCTCTACCACACCCTACGAGTATAGCGAACGATCCTCGCATCCTCCTCTCTCACCTCCTAGATAATATGAGATCACCACTTCAACTTTGCTCGCCGTACCATCTACTGTACTCGAGTACAAGTATCTCCCTCCTCCTGCTGTGTTTCGGGAAAAGCCCCCACCCTTCCCCCTCCCGAAAAAGGAAAGTGCGATAGAAAAAACCACCCTAATAAAAGGCATGTCAATTCCAAGCTCACCCCTACCAAGCACCAATACCCGGGTGGTATCTGACGGAACCCTGGTCTGCCCATGGTCATCTGGCCATTGACTAGCGATCTGGGGAAACCGAGGTGCAAATGCCTCACACTCTTGCCGAGCTTCCATATTGCCGCTGGGTGTGGGTTTTCAAAGTGCAGCTCTAGGAGACACCGGCCACGGAAGCTGCTGTATTCCCGCTTTCTAATGGCCGCGCGTATATATGCCTCCGTGCCGCTACTCACAGGCAGGTGTTTGGAGGTCTTCATTTTTCCCTCTTCCCTTCTCTTTCCTGGAGAGTGGTTATTCGGGATAAATGATCAATCGACGCTGTTATGGATAACGATACAGATTTTCGATACGGCTGGTTCAAGGCGACCTCTTGGGAGGTTTTACTGAAGAGGGGGGTCGACCTGGGAGCTGTGGTGGGGTGTTTTGCGGTTTGGATGTTTGGGTGGATGGTTTGGAGAAGTTATTCTTTGAGAGTGGGTCTGATACTTTTCGCTACTGATTCCTTTAGGTTGAGGGGTTGGGCTAAGTTTGCTTGCCGGTCCTGTTCCTGCTCAGGTGAATGTCAGCGCAGTGGGAGTTTCTCCGGGCTCGTTTGGGGGTTGGAAAGCAATGTTCAAGTACATTGATCACGGGAGCGATTGGATTATGGAGGGTTATGAGAAAGTACCTTTTCTTCACATATCCCGACTTAGTTGTGGTGAGTGTTACCTAATGATGCTAGTGTAGTACTCTCCCACCGGCAAATCTTTCAAAATCCCCAGTATAGCGCGCTATATCATCCTTCCAACCTCACAAAAGATTCTAGAGGAAATGATGGCTGAGCCGGATCACATTTTATCATTCCCCAAAGCGCTGAGCGAAGTATTCCTCTTCCTCCCCCCCTCCCCCCCACCACTTGAATCTCCGTGAACCGTAATGACAATATGTCACAGAAACTAGGCATAGAATGGACGCTTCACCCAAGCATCATGGACGACCCGTATCACATAAAACTCATCCAAACCAAACTTACCCGGCGTCTCAGCATCATATTACCTGAAGTCATGGAGGAGGTAGTACTTGCCTGGGAGGAGAACACCAATGTTGGAAAAGAGTGGACAGGGATCCGGGTATGGGACGTGATGCAGCAGATTGTGGCGAGGGCTACAAACCGGTTATATGGTTAGTACCAGTTTAAACTATACTCCTGCGACCTAGACCCCTTAAGGGTGAGACTAATATTTGTAACGGTTGCGCCGTATGACAGTCGGTGTCCCGTTATGTCGGGATCAAGAATATCTCAATAGCGTCATCCGGTATTCTCTCAGGGTTGTCCAAGTAGGAGCAATACTTGATATCTTTCCAAGGATGTTCAGGACGTACCTACCCTCTGCCCCCCTCTCCTTCGAGGGCTAATCAATAACTATAGTCCCCTCACAACCCTCCTGATGCAGAAATCCCACCACTTCGCCATAATGAGCAAGCACGTAACGTAAATCACCCGGAAGTGACACAACACCGGGAAGTGACACAAGCCGGAATTGGCCGAAGTAAGACACACAGGTATTGATTACCCCGCAATTTTAGAAGTGTAGACAATCCTCATCCAAAGCAACAATGCCTACCCAACGAAGTCGGAATCCTGAGTATGAAGAACGTTTGCAAATGGCTATTCGGGCTATCAGGAATGGTGAAGAGACAAATGTCACATCGGCAAGTGAGGCATTTGAGGTCGA